CCAATGCACAAAAAAAAAAATCAGTATGCATTCATAAGGAGACACAAACACATGAAGCCATCCATAAAAAATAGATAAAGACTCACTAAAAAGAGAAATTGCTCAAACAACTCAGACACCTACCAACAAAAGCAGAACATGCACAGGAAAAAAACACTCACCACCAGCAATATACACAGCACTCACTAGCAACAAAATGCACACATATAACAATTTACAAATACAGCAACAACGCAACACAGAGAGACAAGTGCATTCATCAACAACGCAGCACACACAAACAAACCCATTCCCAAACTACACAATGTCCACAAACAACCAAGGCACACACAAACAAATGTGAGGCATCCTGGTCAAATCAGGTGCTCGTCAAAATAATGAAATCAAACAAATCGGCATTATTTCAGCTGATGGGCACTTTTTTTTTTCGAATTTTCTTTTTTTGGTCGAACACCTTTTGTGTCCATTTAAAAACACATTTTTGTGTGGATTTTACTGAAAAACATTGATTAAAGGCACAAAAAATTAAAATTTTCATTTTCCAGGACTCTCAGGCTATGGAAGTTACCAAATTTTGGCAGCCAAATTCTCAGTAAGTGTACTTCTGAAACCAAGTGACCCTGACCTCCTTCAATCGCAAATATTTCAACTTCTATTTAAGATACAGGGATATTTTTTTCACCAAAAGGAAGGCAAATGAACAGACTTTATGATGATACCAATAACCCCACATACCCAAAAATTGACGAGCACCTGATTCCACCACTCCAGGACACAAAACCATTCCCAAACAACACAATGACCTCAAATGTGTTCCCCAACAACGCGTGTCAACAAAAAGCCCACACATGTGTTCCCCAAAAACCCAGTGCAAGCACAATGACCTCAAATGTGTTCCCCAACAACGCGTGCCAAGCTCACCTGTGCAAAGTGAACAATGTCCTTGACCGAGGCCCCAGCCGGTGAGTGGTTCATGTACACCTCCAGTCTCGTCTGTGTATGAGATACAGCTCTGTCAGTTTGTTTGTTTAAGTATGTGTTTAAACGGCACTTGTAACACAATTATGTTTGTTATTTAAGTAGAGGTTTTACGGCACTCACAACTGCACAAGGTGATATGGGCGCCAAGGGGTGGATGTCAACAGAGAAGTCCTTACAGGGAATCAGACTTACTCTGCTCACCTCTCTAGCTTCAGCAGCACAAACGACTATCAAGGCACCCCGGAAATAGCGGGTCACGAGAGTGTGACAAACATACAAAAAAAGTAGAGGAAAATGACAATAGTAGGGATGAGGAAACAAAAAGCAGCAGTTCCCTGTTGTAGTTCAAGCACAGTTATGAGCATGACATAGTTAGATCAGCCCATTTACAATTTTACTGTGCACTAAAACGAGAAATGTCCCCCCTTTGGGAATGGCCTAAAGACACTTCAGTCAGTGGCACCGCCCCGGGGGGTTAACACAATTAGGTCATATGTCACATAAGTGCCCAAGATCAGAGATGTCACAAGGTATTACCCAAAAAAAAATGAGGACAGATCAGGACGATAGATGTTTGGTAGGAAAGAAGGACCAATCCACACTAGAGCACCCGCCAACCACCCACATGACTACTTTGGGTAGTGGAGACTGAACATCTATTTATGAGAAACCTTGAACATCTATTTATGAGAAACCTTGACCAGCAATATTACTTTAAAGACAAGATAGGAATATGCTGAAACATACAGGAACAAACATACCACAGAAAATATTACTTTTCACAAAACAAGATAAAAACCACAAAACAAGATAAAAAAGACAACCCCATTGCATGTTGAAAAAGAAGAAAAAGCTAGAGGCCTCAGTATGAAGAACTTTCGCTCCTACTCGTCTTCTAATCTCTCGAACTATGTTTTTCTCCAAGAGAAGAGTCACGGAGATGGATGTACAGAAAAGTAGGAAGAGCCCAGGACATGGAAAGGTGGAAAGTGTTTGTTCGTGGCCTATATCCTGATCCAGGGTGAGTAAGGC